GTGAGGGTAGAAAGCAGGAAATCTGGTTACCCAGTGTGAGACTAGATTTCCTTCTGAGTGTAAACTACTATGTGACCTCCTGACCTCCCAACCCCCTTCTTACTGTCTTTCTTTCCCTAAATCAACCTGCTGTTTCACCTGCTGAAGGCTCAAGTTTCCTGAGGAAATGCATCCAACATCATGAAAGCTAAAGCAGATGTTAGATGTGAAAACTTGTTTAAAATGCACATGCGTTCAAATCTTCATGCAAATAAACAAATCTTTGCGACTTCGTTTCTGACTTCCAACTCACATAATAAAAAATGTCACCAAACAACTTCATACATTGTTTTTGGTGATGACTCATTTTACAGTGGCCTTAGCAGTATTTCATGTTTGTGTTCCTTATTTTGTAAATGATGTGGACTGTTCAACACCACAGTGCCATGGAAAATGTGTGATACGTGACAAATAGCTTATATCATGCACGCTCAAATGCGTAATACAGTCCAACCTTTTTACTTTTGTTCGGCTATATTTCTCTCCCCCCCCTCCCTCCCGCATGCGCATGTTCACTTGCTATCGCTACTGCATAATTATCATAAATAGAAACTCCGTCTGAATGGTGCATCAGCAAAGGTTTGAGTGACACTCTGTGAGTAGCAGTGCGCGTACGGAAATCATAACCATAACTTATCATATCATCCTCCATTCTTTTGCAGCAACCATCTCGTGGTACACGGCCACCAATCCCGCCAGCAGGATCGCACCGAACAGGAGATATTTGCCATTTCGCCGCAGTTTCTTCAAGGGGAAAAACGACGTGATCATTTTGACTCCCGGGGGAAACTTGCTCCCGAGTTCCTCACCCGCTTTGTCATGAGTAGGGGACGGAACGCGCCCTGAGCACGTCCGCCTGCCGCCCACCGCTGCTCCCGGTGGATGCGCACTATCACCGGCACCCTGGATATCCCCGGCGCTCGGGTCCCCTGGTCCTCTCATCCGGAGAAAAATCCCACCTTGCCCTGGGCCAGCCGGTGACCTACACTGGGCACTCTCGATCATCTAAAACTTTTAATAGGTCTCCTATTGCTCCTTGAGCGCCCGGCTTGAGACCTGACCTCTGTTCCTGCTAGTACCACATGAAGCGCACGCAGCTCGGTACAAAGAACTCAGCAAGGAATGAAATCTTCACCTCCCCTCCCCTCACCATCCTCCACACAATTTAAAGAAGCCAGATGGAAGGAGCTAGTAAGCGGCCAGAATAGGACCAGCTTTGCCGTCAACGTAAAAGCACGATCGTGATCATGTGAAAGAAAAAATAATACTTGATCTGCGAATACTCGCACAAATATGGCAAAATTACTTCAGCGCAAAGTTTCATCAACGTGAAATATAATGATATATTTTATTTCCTGTAGCGAAACGTTTCCCTTCTTTCCGAGCTCCTCAGGTCACAACTTTTGCACGCTTGTGATTTATTTTGAAATCTGAAACAGGAAACACTCTTTAGTATTCTAGCTAGCTCGACGTTACACACCGCTGAGATTAAAGGGAGGAGTAAACACGTTCAGCGAACACACACACACACACACACACCCTTTACCCTGGGATTTACCTGCAACAGGTATAGCAACAAATGCTTCCTGGATTTTGTTGCCTTTCGAGATTTTTCCTACGTTTCACACGTAACATGTATTCGTATGTTACAATTACACATTTGTAATAAAGTTAGACAACGTAAAAATTGTCTTCAAATCTAAAAAGCAAAACAAAAAAATTGTTGCCAGACTTTGAGGTGCGTGTGACTTTTCTGAATAACAAACACGCCTAAGAAACAATATTACCAATGATTTAACAGCCACCATGACTAATCCAAAGTGCTATTCAGTGGATGCATGGGATCATTAAGGGATAATGGTTAAGACTATAAACAAATAAAAAGTAAAAGGGTTTTTTCCCTATTGAATTAAAATTGTTTATTTTTTTTACATTTATTTATATCCAGTGTTGCCTCCATCTGTTCATAATCATAGACATGATCAAAAATGCCAGTGGCTATATGGATTATATAACCACTCTGATACTGTATGTCTAAAATCAAGAGCAGCAAATAAAAGAACAAAGGGCTCATGGCATAGGAACACA